CAGTTATACAAATATTTATTTTAATATTTCACAGGTGTATGTGTTACGATGTGGTTTTGTGTCCTGTCTTGTTCTATGGTTCCCTGTCTTGTCTATTAGTTATCCCAGGTGTTTCTGATTTCCCACGCCCCCTTGTTTAGCTTGTTTGTCCCTGATTATTTAAGCCCTGTGTTTCAGTCTTGTCTTTGTGAGTTCTTGTCTATTGTTTAACGTGATGTTGGTTGTTCCTGTTCCCGAGCCCTGTATCCAGTCTTGCTTGTTGTAAAGTTTGTAGTTTGTTAATTAAAGCGTGTGCTGCAGTTGGATCCTGTCTCATCTTTACTTCAACCGCACCTCGTTACAGAAGAACTCACCGGATCGTGATCCAGCAGCCATGCATTTCTGGAGTCCAGTCGACATCCAGATTCTCCGTCTTCGCCAGGAGAATCGCGCCATCGAGGATTATGTCACAGAATTCCTCGAGCTGGCGCATCTCCCGCAAATGAGCACACAGTGCTTGAAGATCTTCTTCCACGGGGGATTATCGGAACCTCTCGGGTCTCAGATGCCAGAACCTGATCCGCACGGGTCTTTAGAGTGGTATATCGACTTGGCCCTGTTGTGGAGCGGCTCTTCGTTTACCGTGGGCGTGGAGGAGAAGCTGCGAGAGCCTGCGCTTCACGTCAGCCCGGTCGCGGCCGCGCCCGCGCTTCAGCTCTGCCGAGACCACTCTCCACAAGCCCGCGCTTCACGTCTGCTCAGCCGAACCCGCATTTCACTCCAGCCCTGCCGAGACCGCGCTCCACAAGCCCGCGCTTCACGAGTCAAGTGAGTCAAGTGCCGAGTCAAGTGAGTCAAGAGAATCAAGTGCCGAGTCAAGTGAGTCAAGCGCCGAGTCAAGCACCGAGTCAAGTGAGTCTACCGAGTCAAGTGAGTCTACTGAGTCTACCGAGTCAAGTGAGTCTACCGAGTCAAGCCCAGTGAAGCGCCGCCGCAGAAGGAGGAGGACTCGCTCGGCTCATCAGGCTCCAGTGAGCGTATCCAGACTTCTCGCCATGCCGGCCCCGCCTCTGCGCCTCGCCCTGCCTACGTCTCTCAAGCTCAGGGAGGCTTTTCCTGAGGCCATCTCCAGCCCGGAGGTTTTACCCTTAGTTTTCCCCAAGAACTTTTTTGGGGGGGGCAGTAGGTACCCTAAGGGGTCCATGGAGGCGGCGCTGACATGGACCTTGATTCTGCTATCTCCACCAGAGCTTCCTATGCCGCTGGTCTCGTCCAGTCCAGAGCTTCCTGTGCTGCTGGTCCCGTCTGGTCCTGAGCTTCATACGTCCTGGTCCCCTGCCAAGTGTGCTCCGCCCTGGTCCCCTGCCAAGCAGGCTCCGCCCTGGCCGCCATCTCGCCCTGCTCCGCCCTGGCCGCCGTCACGTCCTGCTCCGCCCTGGCCGCCATCTCGCCCTGCTCCGCCCTGGCCGCCGTCACGTCCTGCTCCGCCCTGGCCGCCATCTCGCCCTGCTCCGCCCTGGCCGCCATCTCGCCCTGCTCCGCCCTGGCCGCCGTCACGTCCTGCTCCGCCCTGGCCGCCGGCATGCCAGTTGGATCCTGCCTCATCTTTACTTCAACCGCACCTCGTTACAGTATGTCTGTAGAGTAATTAACAATGGCTGCGGACACGGCTCAATCAATCAGAATCAGGGACCAGAACTCTCCGTTTTAACCCTTTGGTACTGTTCGTGCTTCGGTCAAAAATTACAGATTTAAAAAAATATATATTTCAATGAAATGATTGTACTATATTTTAGTTTGATAAGGTTTTTTTATTTCATATTTTTAGGGGATTTTATGGTACTGAATTATATTTATGCAGTAGTTATAATCCATTTATTCACTTTTTGAGCTTAGACCAGAATCAATTTACACTTAAACTGTCATAAATCTTGAATGCTTTGGAGCACAGACTTCAGCTTGGTCTCTTTTTAAGTTTAAGTTGTAAAATTTAAGATTTATTGTTATGAAAAAGGCACAAAAGTAAAATTTTCAAAGTATATATATTGTCACAGTCATCGTCTGCACCTTCTGTCGTCGTCTTCACTACACTTCCCAGAATCCTCCTTGTCTCCACACCTGAACTCACTCCCTCAATCACCCACCTGTTCTTCGTCATTATCATCTGTGTCACCTGTCTTCACTAATCAATGTCTGTATTTAGTCCCTTCAGTTCAGTCACTCTTTGTCAGTAGTTAGTCATATTTAGATGTGTTTTGTGTGCCTGTTCCTGCCTGTTATCCTGCCTGCACCTGTGAGTGTTCTCGAAGTAAACTGTTTGAATTGGACCTTTTTGCCTTTGAGTCCTTCAACCACCACAAAACCGTGACAGAACTACTGACCGCCCTAAAATGGACGATGGGATGAGAATGAGAACATGGTTTTTGTTCTTTTGTTGCGGGCTTTGTCCGCATTGCTGTCGTCAGCGATGAGGATGACGGGCGGTTGTGTACTTTGTTCCGGCTCGGGGCCACCTTTCACCATCGGATCGACCTTCCAGGGCTATATGCCTTCGCCGTGGCCACCCAAAGGGTCTTCACCGCCACGGCCACCCGAAGGGTCTTCACCGCCACGGCCACCCGAAGGGTCTTCATTGCCCTGGCCGCCTGCACGTCCTGCACTGCCCCGGCCGCCTGCTCAGCCTGCTCCGCCCTGGGTGGGCAGAAGAGAAGGGATGGTTAGAGGCAGACGACACAGAAGGATGGTGATGGGAGGACGACGATCCCCTGGTGGTGACGATGTGGTTGGCACAGACCCGGAGCTCCCCAGTGCCGAGTCGAAGGAGGGAGGAGCTAAGATGGTGTGAAGGTGGCTGACGGCATCTGGGGGACGACCAACGGAGACAGAGCCGGTGGATTCACTGGCGCAGACCAAGGGTCGAGGGAGCTGAGCAATATCGCAGGTGCAGGAAACCCAGGCGATGTCGCAGCGACGAGCGTCGTAGGTGGAGCCAGAGCACCCAAGGGCTGGGGCGACAGCGGTGTGAGCGATGTGGACGGGAAGGAGGAACCAGCTGCAGCCAAAGGGGTGGAGGGACTGTGGCGGAAGTGGTGAGACGACTGACCAAGGGCGAGCCGGTGGGACGAGGGAATCCAGGGGAGCCACTAGACTGAGGGTCTCTGGTGGAGCTACAGGTGGGAGGAGCCAAGAAAGAGCCGATGGGCCGAGATGGAGCGAAGAGATCCGAGCCCGGAGCCTCCTGGACAGGCGCTGCTGGTGGTTGCTCGACTTGCGGCTCAACGTCAACGCGGGGACAACCCAGAGACGGCACAGGGCTGCAAGCATCCGGCAGCGACGGGACTGGAGGACTGGCTGAGCTCTCTGGCGCTGCCGATGAAAAAAAGGTAATCATGACAAAGGTAATCATGACACAGTTCACACAGGATAGAGCAAAAAAAAGTTCCCAGTTCTCAACGTTCTCTTTGAGTAATACAGATGATTCAGATATCGGGAGGGATAGGGTGGGAGTTGACAACTCCCCATCGAAGTCTATCAGCCAGTCCTCCGTCTCAGTTCCCTCGGCCGCTGGTGTCTCCGGCTCAAGCACTTCTTCCAGGGCGAGGGCAAGCTCTGTCCTCTTATCCTCGGGCTCTGGCCTACTGCTTGTCACGGCGGGTGCTTGGTCTACGAGGGGCTCACGTGACGAAACGGGCTCTGGGTCTGACTGTGTTCTGGATCGGGGCGCGACGCTCTCCAGACACCTGGTGACGGTCTCCTTCCAGTTCAGATCTGTGGTGTCTGGGAGGTCGATAGGATGGTGGAAGGTTGCCCCTATCCAGAACAGGGTCTTCAGGGTTTCGTCATCCAGGGAGCTGGTAACGGCCGAACAAAGAAAATTCTGGACAAAAGAAATCGTGGCTCTCCTAAGTCTGGACAATAAACTTTGCCCGTTCATCCATCCATTTTGTGCGGTCCGATCATCTGTCACGTTGTGTTTCAGGCAGGAAGACGAAGACAGACAGATCCAGTTCATAAAACTCAAAGTTTAATTTCAATACCTCAGACAGGCAATGGCAAACACAACTAAACATAACGGCGATCGGACAAGGTGTGAAGGGACGGGTTCAATTATAAGGCAAACACAAACGAGACAATGAAGGGTTCACAGCTGATCTAGATGAACTCATAATGAGGGTGACCATAGTAACGGATGACACAAGGAAAACAGGACCTGAAGAAATGCAAACTAAGTCCATGAACCAAACAGAGCATAATGGTGACACGTCAATTGTGAATTAATCACAAAGTTAAATTCTTTTATGAGGACAAACAGTGATAAATACTTGGAGAAAACTGACAGTAAAAATGGTCCACCCGAGTGTTTTTGGTCCATACAAAAATGGTAACCAAAACTCTTCAGTATAGGTTATTCTTTTGCATTCTGCCAAATAAAGTAGGTCATACAGGTTTAGAAGGACACATTAAACACCCTTTTAATTATTTTCAAATGTTTCCCACAGCCCATATTTAACTCATAACAGAAGTTATTAGGGAACCTACGACTAATTACGGCAACTCGAAATCGTTCGAAAAGCGCATCTACACTGAGCAGACGTTAAAATACCCTTAACAAAAGTCATTTTAAAATGCTGAATTACCTTAAACTTTGTATAATTTTCACAGGCAGACACAATGAACTGCAGTGCGCTCAGAAAAGAAAACGACGCGCATCAGTACACTGATTTCTTCTGAAGAAGGAAGAGAGAGAGAGTGAGAGCGTGTGTGTGTGTGTGTGTGTGTGTGTGTGTGTGTGTGTGTGAGAGAGAGAGAGTGTGTGTGAGAGAGAGAGAGAGAGAGAGAGAGAGAGAGAGTGTGTGTGTGTGAGAGAGAGAGAGTGTGTGTGTGTGTGTGAGAGAGAGAGAGAGAGAGAGTGTGTGTGAGAGAGAGAGTGTGTGTGTGTGTGTGAGATAGAGAGAGAGAGAGAGAGAGAGAGAGAGAGAGAGAGAGAGAGAGAGAGAGAGAGAGAGAGAGAGAGAGAGAGAGAGAGAGAGCGCGTTCAGTGTTCACATGTACCGTGGCAGATCTCCTCCACCAGTGAGGCGCGTTGTGTTGTCTTCATCTGCTCGCGGAATGAGCGCGGAGAGCCCCGCGGATCACCAGTACCGGACTCTGGCGCTCGACACGGCGCTCGGCACCGGGCTCGCAGTGCTCGTGTACGCGGTGCTCAAGCTGAGCCTGGCCGGGCTCCGCGTGTGGCGCGCGCGGGTCTCGGTGCTGGTCGTGGGCGCGGGTCCGGTCGGGCTCACCGCGGCGCTGGTCGCTGTCCGCTCCGGGAAGGTGCTGAAGCTGACGCTGCTGGACGCGCGCTACCGGAGCGCGTTGCTCTGCAGACCGCAGCAGATCGCGCTGGACCCGCGCAGCGTGCGCTTCCTCCTGGACCTCGGCGTGGACTTCGACAACATGGAGGGCTGCTGGCGCAACGAGCACTTCTTCACCAAGATCGGCGTGTTTCAGGAGTATCTGCTGAGCATCCTGGAGCAGAACAAGCGGCAGGGGGGCGTCGAAGTCCATCTGGGCACAAAGGTTCGTGCGTTTCTCGCAAAACAATCAGAACTACTTGGTAAAGTTAGCACCTGATTATTTTAGTCACCCACTTGTCCTGACCTATTCATAATTACATGATGCATTAATAGCTGACAGCTGTGATGTGGGATAATGAGCTATAGCTCTGGCCTGATCACACAGCTGGTCCAGCTGGTTTCTGAACACGGATGCTGGTTTCCATCTAATGGATTATTAACCTACCATAATGAGCAGCTAAACTAGCTAAGACAAGACACAGCTTTATATTTCATGCTGTCACATGTTTAAACATAATGATATGCATGATTCAGAAATGCTTGATATTTGTGAAAAGATATTTCTTTTTTACCTTGAAAAGTAGTTTTGAAAATGTTATTGATGATGAGGATGATGATGAATACACTTACGTCTTAAAGGTGCAAGTAAAATAAGTAATTACAGTAACACTTTATTATTAGGTCCATTTAGTTAACATTAGTTCACTACCTTAGTTAACATGAGCTATGAACAATACTTCTACAGCATTTATTAATCTTAATTAATATTGTTTTCAACATTTACTAATACATTATTAAAATCAAAGGTTGTATTTGTTAACATTAGTGAATGCACCGTGAACTAACATGAACAAACAATGAACAGCTGGATTTTTATTAACTAACATTAACAAATATGAATAAATACTATAACAAATGTATTGCTCATGGTTAGTTCATGTTAGTTAATACATTAATGCTAACTAATGAACCTTATTGTAAAGTGTTACCGTTATTACTTATTACTCCATTGACATTAAGAGTCATTAAATAAAATAGTTTGTAGATGTTTTTCTTTCTACACAAACCTGTAAATTCTACGATTTTTAAACAGTTTTACAAATTAATTATCTTTGACACGCACATTTGACATGAATGGTTCCATGTTTTATTGCCAACTAAAACTGACATGAATAAACAGGTGATGATGCCACTGTCTTCATCAACCACGTCACATGTGTGAAGTAGATCTGCTCAGAGAAGCTGCTCCTTCAGAAGAGCAGCAGAAGAACGAGCTCCACGTTCACTCGTGTTCAGGTCTGACTCCTTCAGGTCCGCTTCTCCTCAGAGGTTTATGTTCACACGTGTTCAGGTCTGACTCCTTCAGGTCCGCTTCTCCTCAGAGGTTTATGTTCACTCGTGTTCAGGTCTGACTCCTTCAGGTCCGCTTCTCCTCAGAGGTTTATGTTCACTCGTGTTCAGGTCTGACTCCTTCAGGTCCGCTTCTCCTCAGAGGTTTATGTTCACTCGTGTTCAGGTCTGACTCCTTCAGGTCCGCTTCTCCTCAGAGGTTTATGTTCACTCGTGTTCAGGTCTGACTCCTTCAGGTCCGCTTCTCCTCAGAGGTTTATGTTCACTCGTGTTCAGGTCTGACTCCTTCAGGTCCGCTTCTCCTCAGAGGTTTATGTTCACACGTGTTCAGGTCTGACTCCTTCAGGTCCGCTTCTCCTCAGAGGTTTATGTTCACACGTGTTCAGGTCTGACTCCTTCAGGTCCGCTTCTCCTCAGAGGTTTATGTTCACACGTGTTCAGGTCTGACTCCTTCAGGTCCGCTTCTCCTCAGAGGTTTATGTTCACTCGTGTTCAGGTCTGACTCCTTCAGGTCCGCTTCTCCTCAGAGGTTTATGTTCACTCGTGTTCAGGTCTGACTCCTTCAGGTCCGCTTCTCCTCAGAGGTTTATGTTCACTCGTGTTCAGGTCTGACTCCTTCAGGTCCGCTTCTCCTCAGAGGTTTATGTTCACTCGTGTTCAGGTCTGACTCCTTCAGGTCCGCTTCTCCTCAGAGGTTTATGTTCACTCGTGTTCAGGTCTGACTCCTTCAGGTCCGCTTCTCCTCAGAGGTTTATGTTCACACGTGTTCAGGTCTGACTCCTTCAGGTCCGCTTCTCCTCAGAGGTTTATGTTCACTCGTGTTCAGGTCTGACTCCTTCAGGTCCGCTTCTCCTCAGAGGTTTATGTTCACACGTGTTCAGGTCTGACTCCTTCAGGTCCGCTTCTCCTCAGAGGTTTATGTTCACTCGTGTTCAGGTCTGACTCCTTCAGGTCCGCTTCTCCTCAGAGGTTTATGTTCACTCGTGTTCAGGTCTGACTCCTTCAGGTCCGCTTCTCCTCAGAGGTTTATGTTCACTCGTGTTCAGGTCTGACTCCTTCAGGTCCGCTTCTCCTCAGAGGTTTATGTTCACACGTGTTCAGGTCTGACTCCTTCAGGTCCGCTTCTCCTCAGAGGTTTATGTGTTCACTTTCAGGTCCGCTTCAGGTCCGTGTTCTCTTTCAGGTCCGCTTCTCCTCAGAGGTTTATGTTCACTCGTGTTCAGGTCTGACTCCTTCAGGTCCGCTTCTCCTCAGAGGTTTATGTTCACTCGTGTTCAGGTCTGACTCCTTCAGGTACGCCTCTCCTCAGAGGTTTATGTTCACTCGTGTTCAGGTCTGACTCCTTCAGGTCCGCTTCTCCTCAGAGGTTTATGTTCACTCGTGTTCAGGTCTGACTCCTTCAGGTCCGCTTCTCCTCAGAGGTTTATGTTCACTCGTGTTCAGGTCTGACTCTTTCAGGTCCGCTTCTCCTCAGAGGTTTATGTTCACTCGTGTTCAGGTCTGACTCCTTCAGGTCCGCTTCTCCTCAGAGGTTTATGTTCACTCGTGTTCAGGTCTGACTCCTTCAGGTCCGCATCTCCTCAGAGGTTTATGTTCACTCGTGTTCAGGTCTGACTCCTTCAGGTCCGCTTCTCCTCAGAGGTTTATGTTCACTCGTGTTCAGGTCTGACTCCTTCAGGTCCGCTTCTCCTCAGAGGTTTATGTTCACTCGTGTTCAGGTCTGACTCCTTCAGGTCCGCTTCTCCTCAGAGGTTTATGTTCACTCGTGTTCAGGTCTGACTCCTTCAGGTCCGCTTCTCCTCAGAGGTTTATGTTCACACGTGTTCAGGTCTGACTCCTTCAGGTCCGCTTCTCCTCAGAGGTTTATGTTCACTCGTGTTCAGGTCTGACTCTTTCAGGTCCGCTTCTCCTCAGAGGTTTATGTTCACTCGTGTTCAGGTCTGACTCCTTCAGGTCCGCTTCTCCTCAGAGGTTTATGTTCACACGTGTTCAGGTCTGACTCCTTCAGGTCCGCTTCTCCTCAGAGGTTTATGTTCACTCGTGTTCAGGTCTGACTCCTTCAGGTCCGCTTCTCCTCAGAGGTTTATGTTCACTCGTGTTCAGGTCTGACTCCTTCAGGTCCGCCTCTCCTCAGAGGTTTATGTTCCTTCAGGTTTATGTTCACACGTGTTCAGGTCTGACTCCTTCAGGTCCGCCTCTCCTCAGAGGTTTATGTTCACTCGTGTTCAGGTCTGACACCTTCAGGTCCGCTTCTCCTCAGAGGTTTATGTTCACTCGTGTTCAGGTCTGACTCCTTCAGGTCCGCCTCTCCTCAGAGGTTTATGTTGACTCGTGTTCAGGTCTGGCTCCTTCAGGTCCGCCTCTCCTCAGAGGTTTATGTTCACTCGTGTTAAGGTCTGACTCCTTCAGGTCCGCTTCTCCTCAGAGGTTTATGTTCACTCGTGTTAAGGTCTGACTCCTTCAGGTCCGCTTCTCCTCAGAGGTTTATGTTCACTCGTGTTCAGGTCTGACTCCTTCAGGTCCGCTTCTCCTCAGAGGTTTATGTTCACTCGTGTTAAGGTCTGACTCCTTCAGGTCCGCTTCTCCTCAGAGGTTTATGTTCACTCGTGTTCAGGTCTGACTCCTTCAGGTCCGCTTCTCCTCAGAGGTTTATGTTCACTCGTGTTCAGGTCTGACTCCTTCAGGTCCGCTTCTCCTCAGAGGTTTATGTTCACTCGTGTTCAGGTCTGACTCCTTCAGGTCCGCTTCTCCTCAGAGGTTTATGTTCACTCGTGTTCAGGTCTGACTCCTTCAGGTCCGCTTCTCCTCAGAGGTTTATGTTCACTCGTGTTCAGGTCTGACTCCTTCAGGTCCGCTTCTCCTCAGAGGTTTATGTTCACACGTGTTCAGGTCTGACTCCTTCAGGTCCGCCTCTCCTCAGAGGTTTATGTTGACTCGTGTTCAGGTCTGACTCCTTCAGGTCCGCCTCTCCTCAGAGGTTTATGTTCACACGTGTTCAGGTCTGACTCCTTCAGGTCCGCTTCTCCTCAGAGGTTTATGTTCACACGTGTTCAGGTCTGACTCCTTCAGGTCCGCTTCTCCTCAGAGGTTTATGTTCACACGTGTTCAGGTCTGACTCCTTCAGGTCCGCTTCTCCTCAGAGGTTTATGTTCACACGTGTTCAGGTCTGACTCCTTCAGGTCCGCTTCTCCTCAGAGGTTTATGTTCACTCGTGTTCAGGTCTGACACCTTCAGGTCCGCTTCTGCTCAGAGGTTTATGTTCACTCGTGTTCAGGTCTGACTCCTTCAGGTCCGCTTCTCCTCAGAGGTTTATGTTCACACGTGTTCAGGTCTGACTCCTTCAGGTCCGCTTCTCCTCAGAGGTTTATGTTCACACGTGTTCAGGTCTGACTCCTTCAGGTCCGCCTCTCCTCAGAGGTTTATGTTCACACGTGTTCAGGTCTGACTCCTTCAGGTCCGCTTCTCCTCAGAGGTTTATGTTCACACGTGTTCAGGTCTGACTCCTTCAGGTCCGCCTCTCCTCAGAGGTTTATGTTCACACGTGTTCAGGTCTGACTCCTTCAGGTCCGCCTCTCCTCAGAGGTTTATGTTGACTCGTGTTCAGGTCTGACTCCTTCAGGTCCGCCTCTCCTCAGAGGTTTATGTTCACTCGTGTTAAGGTCTGACTCCTTCAGGTCCGCTTCTCCTCAGAGGTTTATGTTCACACGTGTTCAGGTCTGACTCCTTCAGGTCCGCTTCTCCTCAGAGGTTTATGTTCACTCGTGTTCAGGTCTGACTCCTTCAGGTCCGCTTCTCCTCAGAGGTTTATGTTCACTCGTGTTCAGGTCTGACTCCTTCAGGTCCGCTTCTCCTCAGAGGTTTATGTTCACTCATGTTCAGGTCTGACTCCTTCAGGTCCGCTTCTCCTCAGAGGTTTATGTTCACTCGTGTTCAGGTCTGACTCCTTCAGGTCCGCCTCTCCTCGAGGTTTGTTCACACGTTTACAGATTTTTCTTTCATTTATTAATTTCTTTTATTTTTTACTTGTAATCTAATTAAAAGTACAAAATAACAACTTTTATTTCCGAAATGATAACTGGAATGCCCTCAGTGAATCAAACATCCGCCATGATGAACGTGTAACACACTAGCTTTGAACTGTTTCTTGTTGCATATTGTGTGTATTTCACATAAATATGTTTTTACAGTGAGGGACGAGCTCCAGTTTGAGTAAATGATTTCTCTGGCCTCGGACTCTCTTTATCCCACGTCTCTGATGTATCTAGATGAGCTCACATCCAATAAACCAAACCAGCCTTTAGTTTCATTTCATTTACAGCTATTCCGGGTGACAAGCTGTCGTCTGGTTGAACAAAAGCGTCCTTCTGCTCCGAGGAGAACAAACCACCGATGAGAAACCGAGTCTTTAGCTGTCGCTGTCTGTGCAGATCCATCATTGATGCTCTTACACTGTCTGAACACACAAGTCTGCTGTTACAGGGATGGCAATCTTTCTTACGTTTCGTCTTTATGGCAGCATCCAATCCAATCCAATCCACTACAACAACACTCATTCTACAACAATGTGTATTTTTAAATACACTTCTCTTATAGATTTACTATTCAGGCAACACTGGTCCAGTTGCATGCATTTGATTTAAAATAATTGGTTCATTTGTTCAAGGACTGAACACTGTGTGTGTTGTCATTTCAATCAATCACTAAAAAGACACATACGAGGCCAGAAATCTCTCTTCTAGCTGTGTTTTGATTCACTTAAAAGAACTGGTTCATCAGTGTCATTCGTTCAAGAACTGGACTACAGTGTGTGTGGTAAATGTTTTTGTTTCATTTAAAAGGGACCTGTTATGCAAAATTCACTTTTACATGGTGTTTAAACATAAATGTGTGTTGACAGGGTGTGTACACAACCACCCAATAACGTCAAACAGTCTCCCATTCCTCTTTTTTTAATCCCCATAAATCATAAACAGTGTTTCAGAATAAGCCATTTGCAGTTTCTATGCAGTGTGACATCACATTGCACAGGCCCCGCCCATGAACAGCTGACAGACTCCGCCCTATTAGCATAGCTCCTCCCCTCAGTGATGTGTACACAGTCCGCCGTGTTTATCTCCTCGCCTGAGCATTTACCAGCACCAGTTATTCAGTCCAGAGCAGAAACTTTATGTTTTTCTTTTGTTGTTTGATTCATATTTACAGCATATACAGCACATTACGCTGCTGTCACTTAAACACACATATCTAATATACACATGCGATTTTTCCCCCTGCTGTTTACGTTCAGAGACATAACTGACGGTGTTTATGTGAACTTTGTGTGCGCTCAGAAAACCATATTTCAGAAGTTTAGACTGATATGACTTTAAAACACATGCTGATAATAAACTTTCATGATGATGAAGAACTGCAATGGCGCGCGAGCATGGAGATAGAGATGATAATCAAAACCAAACAGATGTTTTAGTTCTTGGCAGAGTAACCGAGGCACGAGCTGTACAGGCTCCGCCCTCTTCTGGAAAGGGGGCGGGGAGTAGTAGTTCATTTGCATTTAAAGATACATGCACAAAAACAGCATGTTTTCCCTTCCACTCAAAAATGAAACTGCACAGACACATAACTTCACAATATATCATACAATATATTACATATTGTAGAAGGGGGCATAATAGGTCCCCTGTAAAACCAGGACTCTTCAGAGGCGTTTGCTCTGGATCTGATCACACCAGAACGCTGATGTGTGGTTCTGCTGTAGTTCAGTGAGGAGTACCTGAGGAAGATGTCCAGGGCAGAATGGCCGCGGGTGATCGTGGTCGCTGACGGCTCGTGTGGAGACTCCTGCTCTGTGCTGGGCATCAGCACCGATTACATCGTCGAGTCGTGCCACGCTTACGGGGCCAATGCCACGATAGAGAGACTGGACCAGAGACAGGTGAGCTACACACACTCTTCTGAAACACGCTCACATGCAAGGCCTTTAAATGTCATCTCACAAAGCAGCATTTTCAAGTTAAAATTAGCATGTATTATGCATTTTTCTTCCTTTCTTTTTAAATCATTACACCGTATCCCGTCATTATATCTCCGTTCCCCTTCTCAGGCTGCGATCCTCAGAAATCTCTCACTGTGTTCTTGAATATGAATGTTAGTCTGACGGCCTGTGTTCATGAGGTCATCGGGTCCTACTGGGCTGATTCACTTTATGAATACTGGGGAGGAAATTAAGCCATTATGAATAATAATCGAGTCTATTTCTGCCACGGGGATGCAGGTGATCCAGCGAGAAGCATTAACTGCACATGTTTCAGTGATGCGGTCTGTAATTGGATTGTTTTTTACACAGGTTTAGAATGATGGTTTGTATAATTGATTCTCTCTCTCGCTGTAGTTAATGGGCTCTGTGTTTGAACAGATGGTAAAGCAGGTTTAGCTAATGCAGATAACCCAGGGCCGCTCGCGTCCCCTGACAGCCTGTTTTGTTAGTCTGTGTTATGTATACAGTAATTCATCAAGCAAGCTTTAGCAACCTTGATAAGGTTCAGAGATAAGCAGGGTTTCAGTCTAATTAGTGAAACTTGGCTCTGGATATTGTGGATTCATGACCATTGACCATGATTTTCATGACCATTTTTATCTCTCTGTGGCTTAATGTTCATGAAATCAAAACTGACAATTCTTGTTTTTTTGGAACATTGCAGTGTTTATTATGAATGATTTATTCATGAGCTCTTCTCTTCTGTGATGGCGAGGGCGGGGCAACCTGTCAATCACATGTGATCCACCAATAGCAAACCACAACCATCCAATCAATTCCCCACAGACACAATCAAGCGCTGCCCTACATTTGCTCTTGTTCCAGAAGCGTTTCACATGGATATGTGTCACGATAGGGAAGAAAAGACACTGGAAAAATATAAAAAACTTCCTAGTGTGCATGTGTTGAGCGTCGGTGTTGCGCACACTATTAAATGAAGCATACTTTGAAAGGCTGTGCATGTGTAAAAAATGAAGAATTAAACAGGCCATCCTCAGACATGCAACCTTTACCTTCAATGTTAATATTTGAAGTAATGTTAAACAAACTTTGAAACAACATTTAATGCTAAATGGTTGTGAAAAGGTTAACAAAATACTTGAACTTAAAACAAGATCGGTTGAAAATTCAACAAAATGTTGATTCCAATATTGGAAATCGATCCATGATCCATTCAGTAGTGAGCGTATATCTGTTCGGACAAGCTCTTGATGGCCAGAACATGTCCGGCTGGATTGTGCTGTACTGATGCTTCTGCCAGCATTATTCAATTGTTTCAGCAAATAGTGCCTGTTGGAAGATTTCCCCCCCATCAGTCCTTCAAATTTCCTGTCCTCATTTCATCTGACTAAAAGATCTCCAGTTTATCTTTTTACTCTGCAATAATTCATTTGTCAATCATTGGGCTACATGTTTCTGCAACTACGGGCACTTTTGACTATCCCAATTTTAAAAAAATCAACCTCTATCAATTTTAATCATCACAGTCTGCAATACATATAAAAATGTACACAAAATAGAATGTAGTCGTTAAGATTTTAATCTGGAACGTGTTTATTTTTTATGTTTTTCGGGTCATCTTCTTAAAAAGTGTCCTTACCGCAACTTTACAATAACGTTCATTTTATACATTTTTCTTTAGTAATTTCTATAAAAAAATTATATATTTAAATAGCTTTTTCAAATTTGATACAGTTTTGTAAATACTGATATAATAAAATAATATACAAAATAGGGAATTTCATGTTTTTTTTCTATGCCATGTAAAAAATGTACAGTAACCTTAGATGTCAATTGTTTCCATACACACAAAAGATGACATATTTAACTTTTTATGACAGATGTTGCAATTTCAATGTGTTAATCATCTCAGCCTAAGTGTAAAAATATTTTTTTGCAAATGAAAATGTGAAAAAAAAGAAGAAAATAGAGCAGTGCTGCGGTAATGACATCTTGTGTCGGTAAGGACACAATGTTAAACTGCCACGAAATCAAAAACAGGCTACTGTAAAAAACAAAACAAAAAAAAGAAACATGCTACAGAAAACAAAAGGTATTGCATGTGTAAAAGATAGTAGCAGTTTTGCAGTAAATAACTATTTTAATTAACTCTTAGGGCCCTATCTTGCACTCGGCGCAAATGACTTTGTACACTGACGCATGTATCATTCCTATTTTGCACCCGCGCAAAGCGGACTTTGCCACAGACGCACGCACGTCGGTTAACTAGGAAATACACTTGCGCTCCCCGGGGCGGTTCAGCGCAAAGAGGAGGCCCAGAGTTAAACTGTTGAGTTTTACCGTTTTTGAATCCATTCAGCCGATCTCCGGTTCTGGCGGTACCACTTTTAGCATAGCTTAGCATACATCATTGAAGTGGACAAGACCATTAGCATTTCTCAAAAAAAAATGACCAAAGAGTTTCGATATTCGATATTTTTCCTATTTAAAACTTGACTCTTCTGTAGTTACATCGTGCACTAAGACCGACGGAAAATGTAAAGTTTTTTTTTTAGAAATGCTAATGGTCTTGTCCACTTCAATGATGTATGCTAAGCTATGCTAAAAGTGGTACCGCCAGAACCGGAGATCGGCTGAATGGATTCAAAAACGGTAAAACTCAACAGTTTAACTCTGGGGGAGTTGTAAAATGAGCCTATTTCCCAAAAAAAGTGGAGTATCCCTTTAACATACATGAATTCAACAGTAATATACATTTATTTTTAAAATGTAGTTCAAAATACACAATTATTAAGCTGAAAGGTAAGGACGCACAATAAATACTAGAGCAGAAAAGATGATGTTTACCTTATTTTTTTGGTATCTTGTGAGTGAGGTAGTGTGGTGGCCCAGTCTGTCAGCAATGTGCTCAAATGATAATTTCGGTTTCCATAGAAACTAGACTTGTTCGGGTTCGATAAAACTTCATAATAAAAGCTTTTTTTCATTGTTGCGGTAAGGACTCAAAAGTGTGGGACAGGCACATTTAGTTAAAAAAATCATAAAAATGATCAGTAAATAATACAAAGAATTTTAAGGTGCTGTAAATGAATCTGTATATTAAACAATTGCATTTGAAATAATGTCAAATTGTAATTAAATTAGCTTATTTTATGTATCTCAACATTGAGACCACAGGTGTGGGACATTAACAAAAATGGTGTTTTGAGCTATAAATGCTTCATAATATTATATTTAATCACATTAATCAGTAATTATATTTTTTGTCAAGGTGTGTAATGGCACTGTGGATATATTTATGAAACATCAAATGACAAATTTGAACATAAATCAAAAATGTCACTGCTGGGACTTAAAAGTGCCCGTAGTTGCAGAAACAACCGGTGTAGTGAAATGTTAATTATACATAAGCAAGAAAGTAAAGGTTTGTTCTGACTCTGTTTTCTAGGTTCCCACACCAGAGATCCGTGCTCATAGTCTGTACTTTGACCTGTCGGCGTACGGGCTGGACACCGTGAAGGACCGCCGCAGCTCCGGCCAGCCCGCAGCCAAGCCCGGCTTCCACCTGAAGATATACGGCACCTTCCGGAACCGCTGCATGGCTCTGGCCTGCACTGCAGACGCGGACTCCAAGATGATGCATTTCCTGCGCCACACGGCCAACTCTTCAGTAAGGCGCCACCATCCCAGCATGCATCTGTTTGACTCCAAAACTTCATCTTTTTTAGGTTCAGGGTATTCTATACATTCTCAAAGATGTTGTGCTCGGCCTTCCCAGCCGGACCTACAGTACTAGCTGGCATAATGTCAGTTGGTGTTTCAGTGTTGAAATGCAGTCACACCCATACTAAATAGTTGTAAAAGGTTCACAAAATACTTACATTAAAAGTTGTAAACAGCCTAAAATTAACACTCGCCAAGCGTCAAATGCGTTGGTGTTGGCGAGTATGAAACGGTGTAAATGACCATTTGGCTGGTACATTTTCTTTAATTCTAGCAATGCAATGATGTAAGAACATGAAGAAACGTGAATGGACAGTTGACGGGCCAGTGCTGCATCGTCACAGAAGTTTATGACTTGCCATATGAAATATTCAAACGCAAAATGATGTGAAAGGGAACTCAATTTGTGTTAAATCCGTGTCTCTGACAGTGCGCTAGCAGTGAATTGAGCACTCTTTCACATCTTCGTGCGCTGGAACAGATCTATTCAAACTAAATATCAAAATGCCCGTTTGGCAAGTATGCTTGAAAACACCATCAGTTATATATTAAGTGAATGAAAACAGTTGAGCAATAAAATGTGTGTATCAGTATATTAGATCCACGCATTCGCTCTTAAAGTGACAGCAGCCTAATTAATCCACTAATGTCAATCAAACAACAAAAGATAAAGTAAAAAACACTCATTGCTCTTGACTAAATGTTTCATGGCTGGAAAAAAATATTAATAATTTATATATATTTTCTTAAATCACCGGCCATAGGCAGGTGTGGCGAAATGTTAGCTCTGGTTGTAGATATCTACCTTATTTTTACCATAAGAGCAGCGGGGCAGTTTGTAAATTGAATGTGCCTGGCTTCCAGTATCATCCGCTATTCCCTAACGGCATAAAACAGCTTGTTATGCTGCTTGATATCGCAAACTGGTATTGCTTACCATATTATTTTAATGTATTGTCTTAATTATAAACTCACTGCTTTGTAGCGCAAATAGTTTTATCCTTTAGGGCACTTTGTTATTCTTCTAGTTATATGAAGTTACGAGTTGAATCTGACGTATAATGTGAATGGATTTGAAGAATGCTGAATTATTTTCCACAAAATGAAAGCGTTTATTTGACATCTCAGATTAGTTGATTCTGATTGGTCAGTGGTGGCAATACTGTATTCCAATATTGGTGTACAATAACCACTGAACCCTCCTAAAACACACACAAGCAAACAAATACAGCTAGTTATGAAATTAACCAGCAGGGGCTAACCAGCGAAAGCGTGAGCCACCAGTGCCAGACTGTAGAGTCAAATCTCTGGCTCTGCTCGTGACTCACCTGGAAAGGTTCATTAATGAATACAAATCAGAAACACAAGTAAGAAAAGAACAGAAATAGCACAAAAAGATGTGAGTGGTTGAAAAAGAAAACAGACAAGATGTGTCAGGGCACAGCCGTCAAGAGGATATGCAATTCACTGTTACCTGGTTACAGCCACGTGTGTGTGTGTGTGTGTGTGTGTGTGTGTGTGTGTGTGTGTGTGTGTGTGTGTGTGTGTGTGTGTGTGTGTGTGTGTGTGAGACTGAACGAATCACCTGACCTCTGTAATGACTCTCCTCTGTGTTCACTCAGATCATGAAGAACATCTTCCACCAGTCCTTCAATGCGTACAAGACGGACATCGAGCCTCGTCTGAGCGAGCTCACGCTGCACCACATGCAGTGCAGTCGCCGGCTGTTCGAGATCATGCTGTCGTACCGCCGCGTCAGTGCCGCCTACATCGAGGGAGACGGCGTGGCCGTGACTGTGGAGGGAGAGGCGGCGAGAGTGCTGAACTTCGACACCGGTGAGAACAGCAGCGATTCAACATCGCCTGACGCAAAGAAAGTTACCTTTTTATACTTGTGTTTATGGATAGTCATATTTATAACTTACATTATTTACAAATTAAATATCATTTAAATGATAAAAACAGTAAATGGAACCTACATTTTGTAATGCAAAAAAAAGAAAGAAAGAAAAGCTTTTTAAAATAATAATATTTTTTTTTATTATTGTTTATTAAAATTTATTTTTATAATGGAGGCAAGTCAATACACGTTAAAGCTGCTGTCCGTAACTTTTTTTGTGTTCAAAATTGACAAAAATTATAAAATGAGCGAGTACATCATGAATCCATTTTCCAAACCGTGTTTTTGTCTTATCCTGAATCACTACGGTACGCCTATAATAAGTGTTTATATTGGGACTATTTTAGACTGGTTTGGGTCGTACTGCTGTGGTGTAACCCAGTGCCTGCGTGACGCGTCATAGACATAAACAGAGAGAAGTAGCTCCGGCTACAACGTTCTTCCGCAAGACGCATGCAGTTCTGTTTATTAACCGCTACAGCGCCAAAAGTTACGGACTGCAGCTTTAAGTGAATGATGAGACCAGACCATGAAGTGCTTATGTGTTGCTGTGTTCGAAATCGCCCCCACTAATCCACTAATATATAACACTTGAAGGAGTGAATGAAAAGGAGTGAGTGAATTCGGACACTGGGTGCACCGGAAGGGCTGCCGCTTTTGCATAATTTGTGCTTACTGTTAATAATAATCATTTGAAACCCGCAAACTGGCAGCTCGAGTGGTAATGAAACTAGCATGTATAAACCGTAATTGAATAATGTATACCTGTATGATATCACACTGGACAGTGGTTTGGAAAATGGATGGATGATTGATTCAGCTGCGGCGCCATCTTCTGGCAAAACGTGGGAATTCATTCAGTGTGCGACTCTCACAGTGCATTATGGAGATTCTCTATCCGTTGAGCGTACATCGGTTGTAGACTCATTATTGCGGTGCATTGTGGGATTGACTGAGTGCACTCAATAACGTCCTCTATGGTCTCGGACACCACTATGGCTGTCCCTATAGTGCTATTTAAGGGCATGGGGGCGATTTCAGACGCAGCCTGTGTCCTGAAGAGGTGATCATCAGTGGCAGCTGAAGGCTGACTGAATGCAGGTGAGAACCAGGAGGCATGCTGGGAAATGGAGTCCAGAGTGTGCGTGAGGGAAGGAGGATCGGAGCAATTGTGACATGCATTTTCTAAGAAAATGCGGAATTTTTATGTTAATAATAATAATGCATTTAGCAAAGTTTAATTTACAATCAGGCTGTAACGATATGTCAATGTAATTGATTTCACACAGTTTATGTCATCCCTAATCCCGTCATGTTTCACACAAAACAAAACTCTAGAGCAGATGCTAATGGCTATTATGGCAACGCCACTTATACGGTTGGATTCATTTATTTAATTATATATTGTTTTTGGCAGAAAGCACAGAAATATTGACTATAATGTGATGTAATGCACTTTTATTTGCAATCCAACATAAGATGCATAGTACGTAGTATTAGTATACTATTAGCATTGTATTAGATTTTGCACTGATCTTCAACTCCATAACATTTTTAATGTAACAGAGTTGACAAAAACCAGAGACATTATTTGACAGAAATATGATGGGTTATTAATATATATATATATATATATATATATATATATATATATATTTAAGTGACAAAATGTGATTTATACAAGGCACACCAAAACTGAGTAATACTGTTGCAGGGTTGAAATGATTTTGAGTGGAGTTAGCTACACTCACCTTAAGGATTATTAGGAACACCATACTAATACTGTGTTTGACCCCCTTTCGCCTTCAGAACTGCCTTAATTCTACGTGGCATTGATTCAACAAGGTGCTGAAAGCATTCCTTAGAAATGTTGGCCCATATTGATAGGATAGCATCTTGCAGTCGATGGAGATTTGTGGGATGCACATCCAGGGCACGAAGCTCCCGTTCCACCACATCCCAAAGATGCTCTATTGGGTTGAGATCTGGTGACTGTGGGGGCCATTTTAGTACAGTGAACTCATTGTCATGTTCAAGAAACCAATTTGAAATGATTCGAGCTTTGTGCCATGGTGCATTATCCTGCTGGAAGTAGCCATCAGAGGATGGGTACATGGTGGCCATAAAGGGATGGACATGGTCAGAAACCATGCTCAGGTAGGCCGTGGCATTTAAACGATGCCCAATTGGCACTAAGGGGCCTAAAGTGTGCCAAGAAAACATCCCCCACACCATTACACCACCACCACCAGCCTGCACAGTGGTAACAAGGCATGATGGATCCATGTTCTCATTCTGTTTACGCCAAATTCTGACTCTACCATCTGAATGTCTCAACAGAAATCGAGACTCATCAGACCAGGCAACATTTTTCCAGTCTTCAACTGTCCAATTTTGGTGAGCTCTTGCAAATTGTAGCCTCTTTTTCCTATTTGTAGTGGAGATGAGTGGTACCCGGTGGGGTCTTTCTGCTGTTGTAGCCCATCCGCCTCAAGGTTGTGCGTGTTGTGGCTTCACAAATGCTTTGCTGCATACCTCGGTTGTAACGAGTGGTTATTTCAGTCAAAGTTGCTCTTTTATCAGCTTGAATCAGTCGGTCCATTCTCCTCTGACCTCTAGCATCAACAAGGCATTTTCGCCCACAGGACTGCCGCATACTGGATGTTTTTCCCTTTTCACACCATTCTTTGTAAACCCTAGAAATGGTTGTGCGTGAAAATCCCAGTAACTGAGCAGATTGTGAAATACTCAGACCGGCCCGTCTGGCACCAACAACCATGCCACGCTCAAAATTGCTTAAATCACCTTTCTTTCCCATTCTGACATTCAGTTTGGAGTTCAGGAGATTGTCTTGACCAGGACCACACCCCTAAATGCATTGAAGCAACTGCCATGTGATTGGTTGATTAGATAATTGCATTAATGAGAAATTGAACAGGTGTTCCTAATAATCCTTTAGGTGAGTGTATAAGCATGTATTGAAAAAAACAAAATAAAAAGTAATACAATAATATAAAATGAATAAATTGAATGAGAAAGATATTATTTCTCAAAAGAAATATTGAGAAAATATTTTTCTGTAGCTCTGTATGTCTGCTTGCAACATTTTCAATGAAGCCAAAATATTATTTTAATATCTGATTGTATATTCGACACTGTGTGTAATCTATGATATGAACATGTGTTTGCTGATCTGCAAGGCTGCGGTGTGAACCTGGGCATGAGAGGCCTGGAGTCGCTGGGGATGTTCGTCTACAGGACCGCCACGGCTCTGGACCAGAGCGACGTGTTCGAGGCGCTCTCCGCCAAAATCCAGCACTCCCGACTCGTGGCAGAGACCTTCCGGAAGAGCGGCCTGGCCTCGGCCGTGTTTGAATGACCCTGCGTGTGTTCTGAGGGAAGTTATAAACACAATGCTTACATATAATGATCAATGTCGTGATCGTTTGGGAATGATAAATATTCACTGCATATTGGAGTGACCAAAGTTTTTGTATTTGCATTTAATTTGTAATTTATGTATTTGCATTTAATTTTTTTTATGGTGCAAGATGTAAGCTTGTTATAAAAAAGGTAATAGCGACTTGTTATCCCACAATTCTGACATTTCTGAGAAATAATATAAAATATATAAACGTGCAATTAAATAAACATGTTTTTTTTTCTCACAACTGCGAGCTTATATCACAAATCTGTGAGATAAAAAAAGTCGCAATTACCTTTTTTATGTTTTTTTATTCTTATGTCTTATGTTGCGTGTGCAACCCGATTCCCTGACACTGCTGTCTTGGTGTTGGCAGACACTATGGGGAACGTCCTCCGAGTGACCGGTGTTTGAGCCTGACTATAGCGAAGTTAATCTCCAGAGATCCATTATGGACAGCACTGTGCCAAAGTGAGCAACAAAAGTGGGATGCCATTTTCCAGGCAATCTACCTCTGCTGTCTTTACTGACTTTGCCTTACTGAAGGCAGCTGACCGCACTTCTCTACCTGTGGCCCTGTTTACCCTGGTGCAGTTTTGCTTGAACACAGCGTCTTAAAATGAAAATGGTCCTTACTGACGTTTCCACTGCGATTTAGAAAAGATCTCTGTCTTTAATGGTCACATGACCATTCATGCACACTGGGCATGCCTACCAAAGTGTAAGCTGTTGCCGATTGTTCTTGCCTCATGCATGTAGGCAGCAGTAGTATTATAAAATACAGCTTAACTGCACAATGGCTGCTAAATTGGACAACAAAATCAGCAAAGCTTGCAGTTCCGTCTCCATGTTATTGTTTGCACAGTCATCGAGGCTGGTCCGTTACAGAGCCGTTGAGAGAGAGTGGTCTGGTCTGTTATTGTCGCGTCCCGATAGCGTAATGGTCATATGATGGGGGCTTGAGGAATCAGGGAAGGATACGCAATGATCCAGAAGACCTAACCAGGGAGCGAATGTGGACAGCTATGCCTTAATTTTCAAAAGTCTCCGTTTTTGTTCGTCTACAATGAAACTAAAACGGGGTTTGCAGTGTTTCCAAAAGTCTCAGTTTTCAAGGGTCGTAAGCCCCAGAGTTGTGTGGACGCCAGGTGTAACCGTAGCAAAGGTTATGCTTTTTAAATCAAAAACACACTAGTGTAAACGGCCTGAAACTCCTCACCACTGCAGAGTGGAGCCGAGGTGTCCCGAGGGTGAGATCGGGCATCAAGGTGAAAAGTTTTCTCCTCCTTGATTCCTGACAGATTAAGACACAGGTGCCTCTCTGTGACCGTCATCGCTGACATCGAATGACCGATGGCTTGCTGGCCCGGAGCCGTTCAGAAACTCCATGTTCAGGTGACAATCTCTGCCCCTGGTCCAAGTCCCTAAGCAGGCTGGCTTGGTTTGCCTGCCACACCGTCATGACCCGCTGCCAATGAGGATGCCTCAGTCTGTGAGATATTGCTATTAGGTGTCTCTTCCTCATGGGGCATCTTCATGTAACAGATGTAGGCCAGTGTGGTAAACCTCACTCCCCTAATCTCAAGGGGTGCTTTAGCCTCCTTGTCAGAGCGTCTGCCTCCCATGCGGACGGGTTCGAGTCCTGCTTAGAGCGGGCTGAGGGACTACAGTGGTGCCGTGACCCGGGTGGGAGTGAGGTTTAGGGGGGGGGTGAGTGTAACAGACGTAGACCAAGGAGAGCTGTCTGTGTAAACCTCACTCCCCTGATCTCAAGAGGCGCTCTAGCGACTAAAGCTATAGCTCATTGTTATTCCCATGCGGATGGGCCAGGGTTCGAGTCCCGCTTAGGGCGGGTGGTTTCACATTCACATACCCCTGCTCACATAATGCCTCCACATCTGTATGATTTGAATGTTTCAAAGGGAAAAATGGGGGTCCACCTTCAGTGTGAAGGAACGGATGGCCCACCAGGAATTTCTCGTCCAATCAGCCGTGAGCGACTTCCCACTTCTCACAAGCCCAAGTCCAATTCAACCTGAACGTGGCGTGAGGCATTACATCATGCAAATCTCCACATGCGGGGCAGACAGAGGTCAGAGGTCAGGATTTTCACCATCATGCGCCAGCAACATGCTCTCTGCTAGTGTGCTAGAAAGAAAGAGCGGGTTTCCAAATCCAGAAGATCGCCTGAAATGGCAAGAGGAGATTGGGTCATGAGCGGACCTGCCCGAGCCGCGGGACAGGTTCGAGTGGAGCTTTTTCACTGATAACTGTTAGCAGTGAGCGCAGTCATCTCCCTCGAGAACTGAACGCACGTGTTCCTGCAAGGCTAGAGATAACACAGAGCTCGTGCGGGTCCTCTGGTGTCATAAAGCCAGGAGACGGAGGAACACACTCCCTGAAAATCAAAATTGCCATGCGCTACAAACAAAAGGCTTCAGAAGACAACAGAGCTGATGCTGTGTAACCTATGGTCCTATGGTACGTGGGTTACAAAATGACAGTGACAAGATAATAAAAGAATACAAATAGAATAAGGAAATAGGAAATAACAATATACAAAAAAATATTTAAAATGTGCACTGGCATGTGACAGCGGTCACTCCGAGGCCGTTCCCCATAGCGGCAACACCAAGACTAATGTAATGTGGTGGTAAGATTGGTACATTTGTGCTCAGTGAATGGATCAAAAAATAATAACTGGAGACCAATCCAGCCTACATTGACCAGAGTACAAAAGAAAACTTGACTTAAGAGACAGTGATCTTAAAAAAAAATATTTGGTCACTTCTAAAAGTATAAAAGCCACTGTGTTGGATAACAAACTCTCATATTCAGAGCAGCGCTGGCCTTGATCCTGGCTCACGGGTCAGCAACACTGAGTCCAGCGTGTGGAAGTGTGTGTTTCTCAGAGACATTCAGTGCCTGTGAGTTTGAACATCTGTTCATGAAGCACGCTGAGACGTCAGTCACTCTTCTACAGGACAAACATGTTAATGATAGCATTTACTGCACTACGAAACAGATACAAGCAAAAATAAGCATGTACTAGCAGTAGGTTTTAGTTGTGGTATTCCCAGCACGCTTCTGTGAGTCAGTGAATGCAGTGCCACAAACACACACTAAACACTCTGATCCACACACACACAAAAGGAATGACTCGTCAGGTCAGTAGAAACAAAGTGCCTGCCAGAAATCACAACATTCACTTCTATAAGATTACATACAAACATGAAGATGTCTATTTATTTTGTAATATTTGTCAATAAAATAAAGTGTTTGCCTTATGATTCTGTGCATTCTCTTTTATTCAAGTATAGATTTAAAGTCTCATTTTTTTTTACTACTGTAACAGAATAGTAAATAAAACATTGTAATATGATTATATTTCTAATAAAGTAATTTTAGTTTTTTTATTTTAAAACCTAAAATGCCCAGACTCAATATATGCACATGTGATGATGTGATGACCTCTAGTGGACGAATGGAAAAACGCCTAATGTGAAGATTTTGAGGGACTGCAGGAGGCTCAGGAGTTGATGAACGAAATAGAAAAACACATAAAATTAAAATAAACAATTGCATAATAAAATAAAATAAACAGGCTTGTTTTAAAAGAAAATAAATATTTGTTTACTACTCATGTGACGATTTACTGACATTGAGAACTGTAAACATGAATGTGAGGCGTTATTTTAGTATTGTATTTTTTATTATTTTGAATGATATATTTTGAGTTTTCATTTGAAGTTTTTAGGTCATTTTAGGTGCTTTTGTCATTTTTAGTATTTCCATTTAGTTGTCATTTGATTTGATTACAGTTTTAGTACTTTAAATAAACTTAGTTTATTTCAGGTAGTTGACAAGGCAACATCTTTAATTTTAATTTAAAGTTTTGCATGTAGTACTGATATTTTCACTTTTATGTATTATCAATCTATTATATTATTGCATAAACACTACTGGTCAAAAGTGTGGAATAGTTTGACATGTTTTAATGATACTGAAAGAAGTCTCTTCTGCTCATTGTAACTTATAAAAATTATTGAAGAATGTCCCAACTTGCTCCTCAGAAACACTGAATGATGTGTGTCTTTCATAACTTGCTCAATCTGCGAGTCAGAAAGTGTTTAAAGGCAGAAGCCGGGTCGCTCAGGTCGAAGCCCAGCTCAAACTCCGGCTTCTTCCCGAGGGCGAGAGCCGCGACGGTCACGGCCAGAGCCGCGGTCAGACCCCAGATCTGGTGCACGTGTCCGGTGCGGGGGTCCGTGAACATGAAGCTGTGTGTCGGGCCGAAGGCGCTGGGCACCGGATAGCAGGAGTGATCCGCCTCTTTAGTGAAGAACTCCAGAGGAAGAGTGAACACCTCGCTGACCTCATCTGCGTTGGGACGGGGTGTGAACGAGCTCTCGATGAACGCCACGACCGGAGTGATCAGGAGACCGGCCTGTGCACAGGGCTTGAGCCATTACAGTCCGCCACAAGTTCAATACTGATCATATTTAATGCACAGAAATGAGAGCAAACCTTGTTTAGGATGGGGAAGAGTTTGCAGACGACCTGCACGGCGTGTGGAGGGAGGCCGATCTCCTCCTGAGCTTCTCTCAGAGCCGTGTGTGTTTCATCCGTGTCGCCGGACTCACACTTTCCTCCCGGGAAACACACTTCTCCTGCGTGCTGCTTGAGCTGAGAGAGGACGAGTCGTCAAGAGCCAGAGAAGTGCACTTACAGGGATACTTCACCCACAACTGAAAACTGTCATCATTTACTAACCCTCAAGTTGTTCCGGTATGAGTTTCTTCTGCGGAACACAAAAGATATTTTGAAGAATGTCGATAACCAAACAGTTGATGGACCCCATTGACTAGTATTTTATCCATAACATTGAAGTCAATGGGGTCCATCAACTGTTTCGTTGCAAACATTTTTCAAAATATCTTCTTTTGTATTCAAAAATGCATACAGGTTTGAAACAACATGAGTAAATGATGAGATTTTCTTAATTTTTGGGTGAACTATCCCTTTTAAGATGACCTATTATGGAAATAATACACTATAAAATAATATATTTAGAGGAATAGTTCACTTAAAAGCGATTAAATGATGACAATTTTTAAGTGAACTATTAAGTGCGAACTGAATGTAATTAATTTTCAAACACTATCTGTTTTCAGACACTTAAATGGAATGTTAATATTATGGTTTAAATTTACATTAAATGTAATTAACTGAACTTTAGAGTGCAACTTAAATACGTATGCAACTTCAAAATTACTTCTACTGTCTTTGAAACATGGTTAAAATGTAGTGCTGAATGTAGCCTACTGACAAGCTATTATGATAAACTAAATATACATTTAAGTTTCAATGACATTTCTATTAAAACTTGCATGTCAAGCATTCAAATATATATAATTACACATTTCTAATGATGAAGCTTAAATTGTGTACATTTAAAATATTAAAAGTAATATCAAGTAACAAATTGTAATAAATTACTTATTCATGTACTTTAGTTTGTTAGTCAAGACACTGAAATAATTATTTAAAACATAATTAAAACAATGATTTAAAATGCACTTAACTCGTAAATTGAATTTGACAATATAACAAAATGCAGTTTTAAAAGTTATTATATTATCTGCAAGTACTTTTAAGATTCGAGCGCACTTATTTTCAAAAGAGTATTAAAGACATTCACTAATGATGTGTGAAAACTGTTGCCATTTAAGCACAGTGCAGAGCTGTATCTCTGTGCGATCATGAAGATCTGCTTACATGCACGGATCGCACGGTCATGAGCGCGTGCAGCTCTCCGTGTCTCAGCAACAGCGGGATCAGCACCGACGCTTTGGGAAGAGCTGCCGGTAACGGGGGAAACGCGTCGCCACTGGCGTGTTTCTTCAACGACGCGATCGTTTTCTCCTTGAGATCCATCGCGGATTATAAGCACACGTCAGGAGACTTTCACTGTACGCTTCCGCTTATCTCAGCGTTTCCCATAATGCTCCTCGGGGCTCTTGGCTCAGCTCTGGTTCAGAGTGTGAAAACATTGCCTGATAAAAGACAGAAATAGAACAAACAGTTAACTTAGACCAGACTGTAAGAGTTAGACGAGTTAAACATTTACGTTGTCGTTGACACTAAGGGCGGGGCTAAGAGGTTATCTCTTTTGCGTCATTTAAAGTGACAGTGTGGAGGATTATTACTGTTACAGAATTCCCAAAAGGTAATTTTCTCACCCTAGTGTTTATCCATGACTACAGGTCCTTCAAAAAAAATTAGCATATTGTGATAAAGTTCATTATTTTCCATAATGTAATGATAAAAAATAAACTTTCATATATTTTAGATTCATTGCACACCAACTGAAATATTTCAGGTCTTTTATTGTTTTAATACTGATGATTTTGGCATACAGCTCATGAAAACCCAAAATTCCTGTCTAAAAAAATAGCATATTTCATCCGACCAATAAAATAAGTGTTTTTAATAAAATAAAAAATTTTGTAAAACAAATTTTTTTTAAAAAGTGTTTTTAATACAGTTATGCACTCGATAGTCAATACTTGGTCGGGAATCCTTTTGCAGAAATGAGTGCTTCAATGCGGCGTGGCATGGAGGCAATCAGCCTGTGGCACTGCTGAGGTGTTATGGAGGCCCAGGATGCTTCGATAGCGGCCTTAAGCTCATCCAGAGTGTTGGGTCTTGCGTCTCTCAACTTTCTCTTCACAATATCCCACAGATTCTCTATGGGGTTCAGGTCAGGAGAGTTGGCAGGCCAATTGAGCACAGTAATACCATGGTCAGTAAACCATTTACCAGTGGTTTTGGCACTGTGAGCAGGTGCCAGGTTGTGCTGAAAAATGAAATCTTCATCTCCATAAAGCTTTTCAGCAGATGGAAGCATGAAGTGCTCCAAAATCTCCTGATAGCTAGCTGCATTGACCCTGCCCTTGATAAAACACAGTGCACCAACACCAGCAGCTGACATGGCACCCCAGACCATCACTGACTGTGGGTACTTGACACTGGACTTCAGGCATTTTGGCATTTCCTTCTCCCCAGTCTTCCTCCAGACTCTGGCACCTTGATTTCCGAATGACATGCAAAACTGAGCAACAGTCCAGTCAGTGCTGCTTCTCTGTAGCCCAGGTCAGGCGCTTCTGCCGCTGTTTCTGGTTCAAAAGTGGCTTGACCTGGGGAATGCGGCACCTGTAGCCCATGTCCTGCACACGCCTGTGCACGGTGGCTCTGGATGTTTCTACTCCAGACTCAGTCCACTGCTTCCGCAGGTCCCCCAAGCTCTGGAATCGGTCCTTCTCCACAATCTTCCTCAGGGTCCGGTCACCTCTTCTCGTTGTGCAGCGTTTTTTGCCACACTTTTTCCTTCCCACAGACTTCCCACTGAGGTGCCTTGATACAGCACTCTGGGAACAGCCTATTTGTTCAGAAATTTCTTTCTGTGTCTTACCCTCTTGCTTGAGGGTGTCAATGATGGCCTTCTGGACAGCAGTCAGGTCGGCAGTCTTACCCATGATTGCGGTTTTGAGTAATGAAACAGGCTGGGAGTTTTTAAAAGCCTCAGGAATCTTTTGCAGGTGTTTAGAGTTAATTAGTTGATTCAGATAATTAGGTTAATAGCTCGTTTAGAGACCCTTTTCATGATATGCTAATTTTTTGAGACAGGAATTTTGGGTTTTCATGAGCTGTATGCCAAAATTATCAGTATTAAAACAATAAAAGACCTGAAATATTTCAGTTGGTGTGCAATGAATCTAAAATATATGAAAGTTTAATTTTTATCATTACATTATGGAAAATAATGAACTTTATCACAATATGCAAATTTTTTGAGAAGGACCTGTATTTTCGTGGAATATACATGGTAAAAAAAAAAAAAAAACACTGTCTATAACTGCGAATTACATTCTTTTGCTTTGTCCATAGACAAAATAGTTTTTGTCTACTAAAGTAAAAATAAAATAAAATAATTAAAGCTGAAAATAATGATAAAAATATTTTTTACCTTAAAATAATGTTTCCAAAATCGTTTCAGTGGTTCATTAAGTCGTAACAGGGTGAAAGGCACTTCTGGATTCGCTTTGCGGTCCTATATCTGCTATAACCACTATGTAAGATTGCCAGATCGGGTTGCGTTTCTGTAGTTCTAATGAGACATAAGAAAACTACAAATTTGACTTGCTTTACGTCAAGCATTACAATAGTCATTATTTTGTTTTTCTTCGTTTCTGATGTCGCAATACATCATACTTTCATGAAATCATGCATCATACTCTACCTTGTCTGTGGACATCGTTCATTCCAAAGCCGGTGCTGGATAAACAGCGAGCGTGCGTGCGATAGAAGGCTGAGCTAGGCTAAATTATTTACAACAGCGATAATGGGCAATTCCACTTCCAACCTGTAGGGTGACCGCAGAGGAAAAGTTACTTGGTGTTGCTTTAAACAACAGCACAATCCATTGATTACTGCATTTTAATGCCTCTGAGCCTTATTTTCATTGTTGTAAGCTGCAAGTCAAACATTCAATCTAAATAAAATTGGCTGAGATGTATAAACTTAAAGTTGGCATGAAACAGATGTTGCACTACTCTTTTATTCCCTATTGTGACGTATATCCCAGTGAAACGCTTCTGGACCAAGAACAAAATAGGGCGAAGCTTGATTGCTATTGGCTGATCTCGTGTGAGTGACAGGTTGCCCAGCCCTCGTCATCAGAGAAGAGTTGCTTCAAGTTATTCTGATTCAAATTTACCAGGAACATGAATAAAAAATGATGTGCACAGTTAAATAATTTGTAATAAACACTGCAATATTCTAATAAATTAAGAACAGTCAATATTCAATTCATGGTGTCTTTAAGTGAAAATCCCCAAGCTCCGGCTTAAATAACAACCATGATTAATTTATTCATCACCAGCACTGAGGATAATATCAGGAAGCATGTGACCAAGTCTCTGCTAAATAATAGCTGTGTCCCAATTCGGAGGCTGCGTCCTCTGTAGGGCTGTATACGTCATCAGACGGTCTCATTTAAGAAAAGTAACCGTCAGATTGCAAAAAAAGAAAGAAATTGCAGTAATTTACACCTCAAAAGGAATAACAGTCAATTTTATTACGGTTATTTTACTTAAATATGACATCCTTGATGATGTACAGCCTTCAAATGCGCCCTCGAGAGGACGCAGCCTCCGAATTGGGACACAGCTAAAGTGAAATGTACATCAGGGCTGCACCCTAATAGTTGACTAAACCTTAGTCGACTAGAAGAGGCTTAGTTGAGCAAAATTGTATTAGTCGGTTAGTCACAAAAGTCACGCAGTCAGTGAGGGACAGATCTTTAACGGCGGGTCCTTGTGGTAATTACAGTATGTTGGGCAGGAAATCCAAATGTTTGCCTATCATCCATTAACCTCAAATATGGCTGACCGTTTGAAACATGTAAGTAGCAACTTTACATGGCTGCCCGCTGTAACGTTAACCTAGAGATATGTGCGCTATTATTAGACACAAATCCAAGTGTTTGTGTGGAGTGTGGAAGCTAAAGAATTAGCCGGCGCGATCACTTGCATTTCATCCTGATAATAGTGGAAACAACTTAAAATACTCCATAATTTTTGGTAAGACATCATTCCAAACTGTGAAGGGTCTGCTTTTATTAGTGTACACTCAAAATAATAACAAAATGTTTTGCTTTTGTAAAATAAAATAAATAAAAGCGCATCCTGTTTTTTCCGCCGTCTCTGTCTCCGTGAACCGGAGCCCGTCACAAAAAAATAAAACCGAGTCTCAGTGTATGCGACTTGGCTCACAAACATGAGAAATATATCTATAGATAGCTTGAAATGTCTACTTTTGAACTAACCAATTCAAAACGTACAGAAATACTCTCTGATTATGTAATCTGTATGTGTCACGATCTCTGTTCATCAGAGCAGTCACCTCAGCATACTACGTTTCCCATAATCCTATCTGGCTACCACCTGTGCGATCCTGTCTCGAACTGTCTAGTCTTCAGTCTTCTTCAGTCTTCAGTTGTCATCTCATCTTCCAGTCATCCAGTCCTCCATTCACCTCTCCTCATCGTCTGTAACAGATTGTCACTTCTCTGCCAGTACCACCATTACGATCTGCTATCCAGTCACTGGATATCGCTCAACCTGCTATCGCTCATTGACGACCCAGAGGTGTTCATGCACCTCTTTTAGAGAACAGCGGAGTAGAGTTCTCAACGGGTCGGGTCGGCCCGACAAACCCGACGGGATCCGCGGGGTTCGGGCCAGGTTCGGGTCGAAAATATAAGCAAATGACTCGGGTCGGGTCGGACCTTGGGCTTAATCTTTTCCGCTCAGGGAAAAACAAACAAAAAAACATTTATTAATCATCGCTGCTGTTGACAGTAAAGAAAGTCTGGCTGCTGCGTGCAACGTGCATCACGGGGGCAGACCTGACGCCGCTGCGTGCACGCCTTTTAGCCTGGAGAAGAAGAGTTGGTGAAAAGTAAACTTGCCGCAGGTGAATTCACCGTCGCCACTACAGGAAATCAGAGGTCTGGAAAGTGTTTGGAGTGGTGCTGGACTCTGATGTAAATTCTACAGGTTATGTGCAATGCTCAAAATGCAAGGTGCTGATGAAATATGACAGCAAAAAACAGGGTCGTCCAGAAGATTTTTATTTAAGGCATATTTATATAGCCTATTTATATATTTAAAGTTTATTGTTTCAGTTGTTTGTATTGTTTGTATTGTTAAAAGGCGTGAACATTAAAGGTTGATTTGAATTCCCGTCTGCTGGTCATGATAATACGTGTATAAAAAAAAAAAAAAAAAAAAAAAAAAAAAATCCGCTGCGAGCCGGGTTCGGGCAGATAATTCATGTTGATGTGTCGGGTTACATCGGGTCCGGGCTTTAAAAGCCACGGGCCGGGTCGAGTCGAGTCGGGTTGTAATTTTTAGGCCTGTTGAGAACTCTACAGCGGAGGTGTGTGGCTTGGGTGCGCACAGGGCCGGCCCTGACCAA